AAAAGAAAAGCTCGACCACGTTCTGACTGCTGCTAGCTAGCCGAGGCTGCTAGCAGTCTCCGCCTATATTTGTGGTCTGGGTTATTTGCGTCACTTTCGAGAATGAATTTTAGTGTTTGTGCCATTTCTGGGCTTGATGCTTCCATCCGAATCAAACCGCTCGTCCTGATGTCACTGATGCATGTCTTCCTTCTTCTTTCTTGGTGTTTCCTGTTTGTTTTGTCTCCCTGTGATCTGGCTAGGCGTATCTCGTAGGAGAGCGAGCTTCCATACACAACGTCCTTTGGACCACCATTTATTGTTTTAAAATTTTGAGTATTTTATTTTGCCAAAAAGTACTGAAAACAGAATTTGAATGTGCCAATGCGTTCCTCTTATCCTTAACTTCGTGATGTTTTCCTCGTTGGTCATCCTCCGCCAGGTTCATTCTCCTTAATTTTTTTTCTTCCATGTGTCCTCCAGTGTGTTCCCAAATCTGTTCCCTTCTAGTTTGGCCAGGTGTATCTCGTAAGTGACAGAACCAGTTTGCAACTATTCTTTACACAAGTCGTTTCAGACCACCATTTATAGTTTTATAATTTTGAGTATTTTACTTTGCCAAAAGTATTGAAAACAGTTTTTGGGTTTGGATAGATCCTAAATTGTGAAAATAATTCGCGTTTGATCATAGCGATCTTAAAGATGTCTACCTGTAATAAGAGCAGGTTAATGATTGGTGAAGTTGATGAAATGGTTGATAAAGCCTAACTATGATTCTAGACGTTATTTTTTGTAGTGCCGTCTGGTTGAGATGGGTCTGAATTGTGGATGGGGTCTGGTGTGTGCAGGTAACAGATCTCCCGAACACTGAACTTAAGTGCTTTCTGCAGATTGTTGTGTGCGTGTGTATGGTTTGTGTATGAGCGTGTGTGGTTGGCGCGGGGAGGTGGGGGGGGGGGGAGTAGTTAAGGACTGATGAGAATGGAACTTCATGCTTGGAACTCAAGTGCTCGGCGATGAAGATTGATGTAGTTTTTTGGAGAGAAGTATTTGTTTCTATATGTTTTCATTACTATCAACATGTAAGCATTACTCGGATGTCAGTGACTTATTTTGTTTTTTGAAAATACTCCATCATTTTTCTTTCCTGTTGCTTGCTTGCTTATTGTACCTGGCACCCGGTGACACAGAGTGTCACCATGCGGATGAGGATCACCCATGGAGAGAAACTCATTTCAGTCGTTATGGCCACAACTGTGGCCCAGCTAAATTCAGGGCCCCCGGCAAAAGCCAGGGTGGGGCTTCAAACAACGAAAAGTTGTATCCCACAACGGGACCGAGTTAACTTTTCTGTTTTCTCTCTCTTCTTTTACTCACCAGGACATCACACAAGCAATAAACACCCGATGACACAAAGTGCCATCATGTGGATGAGGATAACCCGTGGAGAGGTCCCAGAAACCACGTTCAGCCATTAGACCATATTTATGGCCGGGCTATATTGCGGCCCTTGGCAAGAGCCAGAGTAGGGCTTCAAATAACGAAAAATTGCATCCCACAGTTTGTTATTTGCTGAAAATTTTAGGTTGTCTGAGATCAACTTCTGTATGGGGCACTCATTTCCTGCTGTCTCTTCCACATTCCTGTAATATTTCATTTAATTTAATTTATTTTTCTTAGGCCTATTTATATTATATGATATCTGCTGGTACCTCTTTTTGCAAAAATGTCAGCCATTTCATTACCCACTAAGCTTTTGTGCATGGCTCTGCAATTTCACCAGTGCTCTTCAATGTGCACACAAGCAAGATTGCAGAACTTAAATCTTGAACTTGATGTTGGAAGGATATTGATATTTGCAGATGATGTTCTTGCATATAGGCCGGGAAGTGGTAGACAACAGACAGCCCAAGAGCAACTGTAGACAAAGTGACTGACTGATATGCAGACGGATGCTGTCATCAGCTTGATAGGTTTGGGCGAGGAGGTGGGGATAGGGGGTGGCGCTTTAAAATAACAAAAAGTCGCGTCTTATATTGGAATTGTTGATGACGGTATTGAGAGGCAGACGAAGTGCATCGAGGTTCATAGCAAAAGCGAATGGACGACGCAAAAAAAAAAAAAACACACACACACACAAACTGGCATATGATATCACAACGTCTAGTTTGAAAATGAAGGTGGAGGCAGTCACTGCCGCCTTCCGCTGGCTTGAGAATCAGCTGTACGCACATGTCGTAATTGTAACTGACTTACAGAGCACGAAGAGAAAGGTTGAGACTTGCATGTTCCGTGCAGAGTGGTAAGCATCGTTTTAGAGGTTCATGGTAGTTAACATCCTTTGGATATTTTTTCCAGGTCATACTTGTGTGTTGGTAAACGAGCAGACAAATAGACATGCCTGTTACGCACTATTTCATGGTGAATTGATCTGTGTTAAGCTAGATATTGTGAAGGCAATCTAGGGGCGAGTGAGCAGTGTGGAGGCACAAACTAGGAGAATGTCGCTGTGAGGAGTTCCCAGAGAACCTGGCCGACGCTCGACAGTCAGGGCAAAGATGAGACGGATATACAATCAGACAGTTACTGGTGCCATCGGAATTGATTGTAACTCTTCGCTTGCTGCTGAAGATGGGGACGGAGCGTTCACGGGAATGCCACGAGTGCCGTGGTCGATTTAACAGCGACAAGAAGATGCTGAAATAACGTATTTCGTGCAAATAGAAAAACAAAAATCATTTAATCAACGGGGATTCCATCACTTCTGCACGGTCTCTTCGCGCTTGCGCAGTCTGCTGGAATTTTCAAGTAGGTCGAGAGTGGCGTCGTTTCTACATGAGACATGCAGGGACATTTGTAATTTAATGTAGAGTTTTTAAAGAGGGGCAAGATACAAGGTATGAATTATAACTATTTATATAAATTATTATGTTTTCTGCATGTAACGTGTAAATGCCGTGTTTGGGTATGCCAGTATTCTAGTAGTAATTTCTGTCTTGTTGAATATACTATTAGTTAGTATTACTTACTGCTTGTAGGAAAGAACAACCGATATTTTCTTTTACTTCCGCCAGAATCCACCGTCGTAGTAAAGTGAATGAATTGCCGTTGATATTGGTAGTAGAGTCGCAACGGAACAACGTATAAGGGTGTGTGAACTGTGTGTTTTATTATCGGTGTGTAAATGGTATCATTAAACACAAATAGCTCTTTTAATGCTTACAAAATTGAAATTCAGCGTAGTCTTGTCATCACATGCTTGCTGCATTGCAAGGATGCTAGTGATAAGTGAAGTTTTATAATTATTAATATTATTAGTGTAACGAATGTATCACAGTCACAGCTAGAAAGTTAAGTTGTGTATCCTTTTCAGGACGTTGCAGAACCAACCCCAGCAGCCCCTGGCTGTTGTGTGGTTTCTTTAGGCAAATTTACGTCCAGTAGTTTGCCATTGCCTACTAGACGGTCGGCCCCCTGATACCACTGTCGAAACCAAGGCAAGGCGCATGGCCCGCAGCTGGGATCGAACCCGGCACCTCGGCATTACCGTTCATTACGAAGCGTTCGCATCGACTTAGCCACAGAGCCAACCACAGCTAGTAAAAAAGATTAGATTAAAACTACAAATCTAATGATACCTTAATGAAGTCTGGAAGTAATTTTTTTGCAGAGATATTAACATTTTATTTAGTGGCGGATACCACTATAGACAAATTCTTTTGGAATCTGACAAAAGATGGATTCCGGCTGCTGCCCAGTAAAATCATTGCAGTAACTTCTTCTTCGCGTTCACCAGCTGTACACTCTGGCGGAAAGTTCTGGTTGTTTGTTAACTACTGAAAACTGCAGTCCTGCTCCAGAACCTGAGTGTTGCGTGTACATCAGTTTTACAGATCTCATTCTCTTGAATACAGACTGTTGTTCCTTGCCTATCCAGGCAGATGCGACTTCAAAGGAAGCTTCCCAATTAGTCGACTCTTACGACATGCTTTTGGGGAGGCAGTGGGTCTATTCTTGTTTTCCCCTACAATGGGGCCCCGGAACCCACACAGGGGATTGCAGTAACTATTATTGTATATACACTGCTGGAATCGGGGCAGCGAGACGTAACTATATGCATTTCTCAAAAAGTAAATACATACGAATTAATAATGGCCTAATTAACATATTAAATTCAAATGACCACCAGCTAACTATTTTGAAATAAAATATTTGAAAAACTAGAGATCACTCAATGGTAGTCTTGTAGTCTTAGTTTCAGCTTCATAGCAAACGGGTCACCCTATAGTTGCTCCGCTCCTGTGCTAACGAAAAACACACAGAATGTTTATCACAGTCCCTTGTGGAAAGATTGACAGACTGCTGTCTCAGCATATCATATCTAGCATACACACACATTAAAAGCATATGGTAGCCATATGAAGTGCTATCACAAATTCTGACTTTAAAAATGCAGTTCATCATTGATGGTAGCAGAAGTCACTAACAGATTAGCAGTTGCACACGCGATCAATTCTAATCACATATCGGCACCACCAACATTGCGACAACAGGCATCGCACCATTTTCTGAATCTACAGTTCACACCACCACGTTGGTCACAGTCGAAAAAACATTCCAAATGAAATCCACAGCTCACAGTGTCACATCATGCATTCAACTCAGAAGCTGGGCGACGAAACTATATCCTTTGTCTACTAATGGAGCAAAAATGCAACGGCCACAGTCTGGAAGAAGCAAAAAATGTGCCTCGGCTCCAAACACTGCCCGTGCCTAGCGTCCATTTTGACCTGAAGTCAATCAGTGGTCCTAAGTTTTAACATTTTCTTATTATGTATGCAGACCAAATACTTAAATCTAACAGTTTAATTCCAGATAAATACACCTGCATCCCCATCCCTTTTGTTTTTTTTAGTTAATTACCCAAATTTATAAGTTTGCATGTTCAGTATCCTTTTGCATTTATTTATTTAATCAGATTTTTCTTTTTCAGCTGCCAGGTTCTGAAATTTGTGAATAAAATGGATTATGAGTCGTCTTCCAAGTTTATTTCATCCCTGGCCAAGTTTCTACAGTCACTTTGTAATGGTTATGTTGAATTTGACAATGGTGTTCAAGTAATAGGTCATCTATATCTCAGTGTCGACACAGGAAAGACAATAGACTACATTTTAAATGAAAAAGTATGCAAAACAGACGAAAACAGCGTGACTTTCATCAGCAATAGCTTTCACGCACAGCCTGCAGAAAAGCCCAAGCCTCCGGGTAAAAGGATAGCAAAAGATTCTGACAAACCTGATACAAAAAATGAGGAGGAGCCTGATGGCTACAGTAATGTTCAAACAGAACCAAGAAGTACAAATGTGGGAACTATGCCATCATCTAGGAATGTAAATCAGAGCTCACCCCTGTCTCATGGCGCAAAACGTCCGTATTCTCCATCTCATAAGCAGTCTCAGGTCAAATCTGGGCGAGTATCTCCAAAGCATAAAAAGAGCAAAAGTGAATTTTTAGAACACAGTGGACAGTCACAAATTTCAAATCCCACCAGTGACAATAGTATTTCTTCGGCACCTAGTCCAGCTGATGATGTTGGGCCATCACATTCAGCTCAGCTTTCAGATACTCCCCACACATCTCAGTTAAGTGAATCATATCAGCAAAGTTTTTTTCATCCAGATGAAGAAAATTCATTAGCTGATGATTCGGAGGAGAGAGACATTAAGCCTACCATTGATACTGATGTTACATTTATTAAAGAAGAGTTTGCACCATCTTCAAGTTGTTCACAGTCAGGTAATCAAAGTAAGTATTCTTTTTGTGTGTGTGCTTATCTTATGGAGTATATTTTTATGTTGTTTACTTCTTATCATTCTAGGTATACAAATCTCCCTATTTTTATTCTTTATGTTCACCAGCTGTAAAACCCGGAATGTTTAGGTTGTTCACCCACTTCTGGACTTTCTTGTCCCAGAACCTGAGTATTGCATGCACACCCGTTTCACAGATCCAGGCCTGCCTTTATGCAGACTGTTGGCTCATTGCCTGTCAGTCAGAAATACTCTAAATTTGAAGGAAACCTTAAGTTGGTTGACATGCTTGTTTGGGAGACAGGAGGTGTAAACCGCCCTCCCCCCTCACTCCACAACAGGCAGGATTTAGAAAATACAGATCCAGTGAATCCAAATAATATATACGAAAGTAAAGGACCTTTTTTCATGCCTTTAGATGTATTGGGCATATAGAACTAGATCTATATTTTATAGACCAATCGATGTTTGGTGGGGGATTTTGTCAGTATCACTCCGACCGACCGCCTTTGCTTCCCAGTGCTTGTACCCGGTACCCACTCAAGGCTGGGTCCACCTAAGAGTAAATGTTATTTTTTAAAAAGTCCGGCTCCATCAGGACCCAGACCCACGACTTGTGGACCCACAGACGAATGTCTAGCCGCTACACCATGGCAACTCCTAAATAACCTATATAGCCCAGGAAATATAGGATCCTTTCCAAGAGAAAAACACACTTGCGGTCCGGACAGACTTTAAAAAGCTAAAAGAACTATTTTAAAAAAAATTATGTTGTGGGAACATTCACAAATATATCAGTCACTATCTTGAGAACAGAACTAGCTGGACAAAAGTACAAGATCAAACTAGCAAAGAAACTGTTTTAGAACAAGGAATACCACAAGGGGGAGTATTGTTACAAACATTGTTCTTAGCATATATAAATGTCATTTCAAATAATTTTAGAGAAATACCAATAGGCAGTTTCATATAACTATTCTGCAAATGTTGAACACTTCTGACAAACATTAATTTCTCAGGAAGTTTATCTTTGTAAACTTAATTTTAGCTTCAGGGCAAACGGGTAACCCCTTAGTTGCTCCACTCCTGTGCCAACAAAGGCACAGAAGGTCCACCACTGTCCCTTGTGGAGAAATTTATACAGACTGCAGTCTACACATAGAGACCAACTAGGACGCACACACATTAAAAGCATAAGACAGCTATCAGAAGTGCTAACTCAAACAGTCCAACATTAGAAATGCAGTTCATCATTGATTGGATCGGCAGGTACAAACAGATCAGCAGTTGCACATGCGATCAATTTTAACCACATAAGGCACCACTGATACTGTTGCAAGCCATACGCCATGAGTAAGCGAGTTTATCATCAGTATCATCAGTTTATTTAACATAAAGCATCTCAGCATATGAAGTTCTGGGCCATGTATGAAGATTCTGGTGACCTGGAAGCTCTGATTTCCTCTGCTGCTTATTAATTAATTGCTTGAACTCATAAGTATATGTCAGAATTTATTCTTTCTTTGTCAGCTTGTCATTGTCAGCCTCTTTTTATGCTGCAACAAGAAAGGATCCATTCATGTTAAAAAAAAATGCTTCAAGTGATCTTATTAGGTCTGCAAGATGATTCCTATTGATTAGCCAGACAATCGATTTCTAATCCACAAAGGGAGCTAAGTGTTTCAATTTTTCTTCTGCATTTATCATGGCCCTTGCTTTAAGTTATACATTAATTTTCCACTTGTTACTGAATTTGTTATTTGCTCCACTTTGGAAAATTTGCTACCATGTTTTGCTGATCTGTTAGTGAATCCAGGTGGCACTTGAGAAATGTTCTGCTATCTAGCTTAGTGTTCTTTTTGATGATGTGTTCTGTTACTCAGTTCCATGAATATGTGCTATATAATCTTAGGCAAGCACCACCGTCGCCATACTGATAATCTGTGTGCAGTATAGCTTAGTTAGGGGATTGATATGGGTAGTACTTCACATGATCTTAGAATTTTGTTTTTTTGTTTTTTACTTGTCTTCCTTGTCCAGTTCAGGTCAGTGAAGCCTCTAATATTTGGTGTTGTTTCTCACCCTACATACTTTATGTGCAGCTGAACTCATTATTAATACCATTCTTTGCCATGTTCTTATTATTGTTTATAGATTTTAAATACTGTGTTTGGCTTCCTATATCATATCAACGATGCCAGAGCTCACAGAAACATCATTGCTTGATATTTGTATCTATGTTTGCATCACTATTAGAACTCTTTAGTGTCCTTTTGCTGTCAAAACATCAGGCCTGATATACCATGACTGAAAATCTATGATGGGTGTTGTGTCTCTCAAATGTTTGTAGTTAACGTTTGTTAATTAAAACATGCAAGCCGTTTTGGGTGGAAGTAACTACAAAGTCTTTTAAATACAAACCTTTTTCCCCCTTGCTTTACTGTAATTATATATGTTTGTCAGTAAGTGGTATGACTTTCTGTAGGTGTAACCAGCTGAAATTACTAATAAACTACAAACATTTGTTAACTGGTGCCTCGCAGAATATAGGGTTTTAAACTGTAAGATAGAATCATTAATATGGAGCTTTGGAAGAGAACTAAACAAGTTCCAGTGGACTAAGAGGTAAATGAAGAAAAGATGCTGGCGTTGGATAGAACTCAGGTAGAGAAAACCTGAGAAAACAGTATGTCTTTGCACTGGAATTCACAAAAGCATAGAAACAAAGGAAGACAACACATGGAGAAGGGAGCTAGAGAGTGAGGTTAAAAAGATTAGGAGAGCTGCATGCGATAGCGAAGGGTAGAACGACTTGGCCTGAGTTGGTTGAGGGCTTATGCTCCAATAGGGGTTAGAAAACAGAAGAACCAGTCAAAAACAAGTGGTTACAAATAGAAGTTTCTAGTTTATTTCACAGACATTTAAACATATAATGTTAAGAGTACAGATTAATCAGTCATCTGAACTCTTTGAAATATCCATACAAGATATGATTTCATTGCATCTTGACATTGATTTGTAATTTAGTAAGATAAAATTATATTTATACTGTTTGAATGACACTATAAAAGCCCTGAAGTTGCTAGTGGTGCCATCTCATGTGTAGACATTTTACCAGCTGACTATGATCAGCTGGATTATCATTTCTCTTTTTTTTTGGGAGGTAACTGTTGAGCATCAGAGCTTTCACCAACTTATGGTTATCTGACTATAACATGTTTTTTCTCAATGGGAGCCTCTTCTAATTTCTTTCAGACCCCATTGATCCCATTTACCACCTACTAATTCCTAATCTCCTATGATAGGCCCTCAGCAAGCGATGCCACCCCTTTTATAGACTTATTTGTAATTTGGTCTGACTTTACTATAGGATATAGTGGTCTCACACTAACCCTTTTTAGCTACCTTTTATTCCCTTCTCCTCCTCCTCCTTGTCGTGTTTATGGCTGTAAACCCCCAGCGTAAAGTTTTTCAAAGGAAAACCCTAACTAGTTGACTCTTAAACATGCTTGTTAGAGAGGCAGTGGGTCTACTCCCCCCCCCCCCCCCCCCCCGCACACTCACACACACAGTGGGGCCCTTGAAGCAACATGGAGATGACATGCATGGTGGTTACAGTGTTAATATATTGGATCTTCTGTGTTTCACAGTAGCACATGGTTCGGTGGCTCGCTTAGTTTTTAATATTAAACAAAATTTGCAGAATGTTCAGTACATTAATAGAATGTTGAAGTTAATAGAATATTTAGAACTGAACAACGCATGCAAACTTGTAAATACAGGTCATGACAGAACGCATGGTGAAGACTCGATGTATCCATACCAGTCGTCAAATCAAGTATTTCCAGGAGGATATGCTGGTTTTGGAGCATCACAAAGGTCAGGTTTCAGCTCGGCAGGATCATCTCATGCATTCAGCTTAAATTCTGGGCAAGCTTCAAAAACTGAAGGAGATGGTCTAGGAGATCAATCAGGTTGGTGCCACATTTTTTTTTGGTGATACCTTGTTTATTGATGACCAAAGAGTCAGCACTATTTCTTATTGAAATTTATATCTTTACACAAATGAGAGCATATGTGTATTTTTTTGGATACAGAAATCATGTTGTTGATTTCTCTTGTAGTCTGGCCGGACACAAAAGATTTGTTAATAAAAATTCAAGTGCTGAGTTATGGTTGTCCAAGTCTATACAGTGTAATAGAAGTAGGTAAACAGTTTGATAGATTGTTAGCAACAATGCTAAAGGTGGCTAGATTTATTTATCTTTACTTTCTTAATATGACATCTCCGTAGATCAGTAATTGGTTCAGTAGGAGTAATATTTGAGGAGTGGTACACTTACGTGCATAACAACTGGCCTTTATTTTTATGCAGTCATGGATTTGTTTGAATGTGCTGTGCACATTGCGGCAGGAAAATTGAAAGGACCAAGGAAAAGGAAAAAAAAAGTCTTGTACAGCAAGAGCAAATGGAGCCATATAAAAAAGATAGGAGCAATGAGAAATCAAAACTACTAACGAAAGTTGAATTTTTTTTGTTAAAAACAATTACAGGATAAGTTTATATCTGTGGCACAAAGTATTTTTGTAGTGTTAGGTCTTTGTCACTTTCATTATATAGTTTAGGTAGACATGTTTGTGATTTGAAAAAAAAATACTTTATGAATTTGTATGCAGCATTTAGATTTGAATACTTTAGTAATAATGAGCTTTTATTCAGTCACAAAGACTATAAATCTACTTCATATATACTTCTATGATAGTGTAAATTCATCTGAAATAGCATAGTGCATTGAGATATTACACTGTATAGACTTGAATTGATCTTAAAATAAATATAACCAATGTCCATTTTGGGTTCATCTGAGAAAAGAAAAACCTACCAAAGCAAATAGATTTAGTGTAGTGACTTTCATTTTGACCAGATGATCAGATCATCTGTTTTTTTAATATATTTATGAAATCATTGTTCTTAGTTTCCGTTGGTCTCTCTCTCTCTCTCCTTTTTTTTCCCCGCCACATTTCCTAGATCTTGTCTCAAGTGTTGTAGCTTTGCATTTACTTTTGAATTAAATGTAGTAATACATCAATCAGCTCTCCTATTGACGGGTAACCTGATGTGTTCACCTTCCTGTGTGTTCTGTCACATCCAGTACCTGTAAATTTGAAATGTGAGTATAATTATAGAATGCAATTGTTCAGCAGAGAAAGTAGTATCCAGACAGCTTGTTCATTACATCTGCAATATATATTGAAATCCTTATCTGGTTTAACATTCTATTTATTCCTGCAGCAACTGCACCATGCTGCCAGGACATTCTGTCTTCACCTCATTCATGTAGGATCCCCATCAACACACCTTAACTCAGCACTGTTTGGCAATGCAGATCTGTCTCTAGTTTGGCAGACCTGAAATATATGTTCAGGATTCAAAATTTAGTTGCAATGGTTATTCATCTGTGTGGTAATTTTGAAACTAAAGTGGCTAAGTATCTGCACTGTCCAGTTTTTAGGCAAAAGGTTCTTAGTGTTTTTTTTTTAAATCTTTAAAAATTATAGATTGTACCCCAACTGTTGCCTGTTTCTATATTTTCTTCCAGTGATGTATTGGCTTGAAGGTTTTTGCTTCCACTTGTGACAGGGGTAACAATTCCATTCTGCTGTGTTTTAGACTTGGGATTGGCTGTGTCAGAGTCAGTCATTTTACAGTGAGAGAATAGCCACACAGCTGTGTTAGTTAAGGATCAATGATTTTTGCTGAACTCTGATATGTTCGTTTCATTCTGAGAATTTCAATGAGTTTTTTTGTAGCTGTCTGAAAGATGTTTGTTTATGTCAGTTAATGACAAAAGAAATAGAGGTAGCCTAAAAAGAATGGTTAGGTTAGTTGCGTATCCTTTACAGTACGTTGCAGAACCAACCCCAACAGCCTCTGGCTGTTGTGTGGTTTTTCTAGACAAATTTATGTCCAGTAGTTTGCCATTGCTTTCTTGATGGTCGGCTTTCTTGATACCACCGTCGAAACCAGCACATGGCCTGCAGCTGGGGTCGAACCCAGCATTACGAAGCGTTCGCATCTACTTAGCCACAGACTTAACAGAATGAGAGACTGATAAATAATATAGGGATGATATAGAGTTTCAGAATTTGGCAGTAGATTTAAAAGCCTGTGTTCCTGCTGTCAGTACCATAGCTGAAACACAAATCTTCAGTAGAGTGGTTAATGTTTGTCTGATGGGATGTATGCTTTAACCCTTTCTTTCTTTAGTGAAGCAGTATTGGCTTGTTTTAAATAGTGTTTACATGTCTCTGCTTAGGCTTTTTTGCGACTCACCCTTGTTTGCATTCATTCTTGCAATTGATTCTCTAAGGGCTTTCAGTGATGGTAGCAAAGCCATCTGCTTTTCTGTTCCATTATCTCTTGTCTAGGGAAATCCTCATATCATATGTGACTCACCATATCTGAAACCACTTACTGAGCAAGAATCTGTGTATTGTCTGTTTATGCAAGTGCTGCTACTCTTTCTTGTTGCAGTCAGGACTTCCAACAAAGCATATCTTTTCTCTGACATTCTCAGATACGTGGATCAGTACATGTGCCAGAAAAAGTCACAATTTCAACTATGCCTGGTAGCCCTTGGTTTCATATATGATGGGTTCTTGGATGACTTCTATGTTTGGAAGGAAATCTTGTAGTTAAAATCTCAGAGTAAATAATTTAAACTACTTGTTAGTTATAATTCTCAAGAGCTGTGCAACAGCAGTGTATTATAAATACAGATGAACCCAAAATTGTCATTGCCTTTAAATAGAATTATAATTAGTTACGAACATTTGTATTTTATTATCATGAAATGCTTATAAAGCAAACTGATTGTTAACAGGGAGGCTGCTTTTCTGTTGTGTAAACTGACCTTAAACAAAATTCTTCATCTGTAAACTGATTTGCTCATGAAGACTGTTTACTTCTTCTTGCTGTCAGAAGTTATTGCCCATGAAACACATTTATCTCCTATTGCTGTCAGAAGTTTTTGCTCATGACAATTATTTATCCTCTCTTGCTATCAGAAGTTTTTTGCTCATGACAGCCATTCACCTCTTCTTGCTGTCAGTTTTTACTGACAACCATTTACCTCTTCTTGCTGTCAGAAGAAGAAAACAAAACATCTAACCAATACAGCACATTACAAGGGGAAACACAACATCAGCCTTTTGTCCCTTTCTTTGGGTACAACTAAATGAGCGGATCTTTTAATATTTGAATGCCATTTGATTACACTGAGATTTGCCTTCAGGCATCTTCCTAAATATGCGTTTGGAGAAAACTATATCTATTTAACTGCCTTCTATTTGTCCTGTAATGATTATTATGAAATCCTCTTTTCCAAAAACTGATATACTGCTGCAACATTTCAAGTTGTTTCATATTCTTGTTTTTGCTTTACTTATCAGATATCACTTTTTCCTATCCTCTTCTGGCTGATCACACACACATTTAAAAATAAAAACTATAAACTTATTAAAATCGATAACAGCCACATATGAGTATGCCTCCCTGTTTCCCGATGTGTGGGAGAAATGCTGTTCTTATAAATGCTTTGTATATTTATAGTTGACAGTTGATATTGCCGAGCTTGTTGCAAGTCAATAATTTTGTGGTAAAGTCTGTCCAATTAATTTGTAGATTCTGTGTCAAATTAATAATAATTTTGTGAATTTTGGTAAGATTTCTGACTTGCCACTTTGAAGGTAAGACCAAGAATAGCATTTGAACGGACAGCGTTTCCCCATATATTGTTAATATATGTGCATATTTATTTCGATAATCAAATGGCACTGGTGAACACTGTTGAAAATCAAAATGTTCGGCTGGATTTGACTCGATACAGATTTCATGTTAATAATGTAACAGTTTCAGTTGAGTCACCCGTGTCCTTTGATTGATTCCATGTATTGACAATTGTTGTTGGAGAGGGCCTGGGCTGGCAGGTGGTAAACTCAGAAGTTCACATGGTTCCCAGAATTTTCTTATTTGATTTCGGCCTAAGTGCAATTTGGAGTTGACAAGAGATTCAGAGGGAAAGTCTTAATTTAATTACTTGAGGAAAGATATGGGGGGGGGGGGGGGGGGGGATTTGTGGTGAGGAAAAGAAACAGCCACCTCATTACGACCATGAGAACTTTTCAGGATGCTCCTGTTATTTATTTCAAGAAAAATAGCTTTAAATGAACTCTTGTCAGGCTTTCAAATTGTTACAAAATTTTGTTATTTTAAAGTTCCGGTTAATATTTTAACTTAGCAGATGATATACAGACTCTCCCTTCATTAGGATAACATCTCCCTTGTCAGAACACTTGTAACTGGTTGTTAGGTCTGATGTCACGCACTAGACTTTTTTTCTTCGCTCATTTTTATATTACAATCCTGCTCTGCTGTGTAAATAAAGACATATAAAAAAAAATAGGAGACACAGTACAGCTGTCGTGGAAGACTTTGAGATCTGGTGTAATTTAGATTGTTAGTGGAATGCCCAGAGCCTGAACCTGACGACAGGGTGATGCATCAGAAGACGGCAAAGTTGAGCTGTAGATATCAGCTTAGTGTTTATTCTACCAATATTCTCAAAGAGGATGTTTAATTTGAGCGCTTGGCAATGTATTGCCAGGGTGAACTAATTGAACACTGTGCTTGCTGCTGCTGTATATAAAGTCCTGGTTATAAATTCCAGGCACCCGCCGTTTTAATATACCTGTGTCCATGATGCACTTTTGTTTTTATATATAGAAACTCATGCTGTTACGGTATTTTCATGTGCATATTTATAATCTGTCACTGGAAAGTGGTTGCCCTGTAGCTTATTATTTCCACTCAAGAGATGGGAACATTTTTTTTTTTGGGTTAGTCTTTTTAAAACTTCACTGAAATTATAGTTGCTTGGCTTCTTTCTCATTGAAATTGTGTCTGTCAGTTTCCATCGAAATTGCTTTCGAGACAAAAATTGTACACATGTGATTGCCAATGTTCATTTTTGAATGATCAGCGCCATTTTTGAATGATTCTTGTCAAATTTGGGGTTGCAGTTTTAAGGCTTCAGTTGAGACTAGGTAATTTATGGACAGTAACATTTTCAAGTTTACTATCACTATATACAAATACAAAAAAACATTGTTTTTGATACAGCAGCACTGTAAATTTTTATATTGGCTATTTGTGTAAGTAGTTTAATTCTTATTTGCCTTAACAACATATAGAAGCTGCTAGAATGAGGTGTGATGTATTTAATTGCTGAATGTGTGCTGCTGTCCTCTGTAATTAATACATTTGTACACAAATAAATAGGATAGCAGTGTATTTGATGTTTTTGGAGAAGTCAGTGTAAACTTGTTTGTTTTTAGAGCATGAAATCTCTTGTATCGTTTTCTTTGTTGTTGAAGTGAACCACTATTGCCAGATCACACACAGCATTGTGATCTTCTGTTTATCAGACATCAAGGAGCTTTTAAAGGCGCTCTATATTGCTGGATAATTAACATCACTAATTTCACCCTGGAAAATCACACCGGTTCAGTGTTTCGGTCTTTATGAACTTGCCTGAGCACTCGCCAGCCCAAGCATCTGTTGATCAGCCATTTCATTTCTTGTCCATTTCATCTATACATTTCTCAGATTATGTGCAGAGTGGGCTGCATGCCAGACGAGATGCCTTTGTTGGGGGAAATCCTGCATTGTGGAATCATACGTGCTTGGTGTGTGGCAAAACATTTTACAATAAGTCAGATCTCAAAGGTCATATAAACAGTGTACATTTAAATTCAAAACCGTATGTTTGCAAGCACTGTTCCATTGGTTATTCATACAAACAGAGTTTGAATAGACATATTATCAGTTGTAAAATGAACCATTCATCTTAAACAAGTTTGGTGCATAAACTAAACAATAATATGTAGCATGTTTTCGTCATTTCCAACAGTCGTATCACCGGTTCACAGTGCTTTTGATTTTGATTACAAATCATTGACCATGCATTTGTTTTAGATACATAAGAGTAGTTCACAAAGCGAGATACTAAAGTTCATTTGGTCAGTTATTTTATGAATTTTTGCCTAGATGTCTTGAAAAGGGACCTCAGAAGCCTGTGGTCGTTTTAGAAAACAGCATGTGCTGTCATAAGCGAAAACATGTTTGACTACAGACTCAAGTTTTCTAGAATTTTAAAATCAATGTTCAATGCTCATAGTCGGATAAAACCATGGATGTACTGAGTATACACTGCTACAGCTCTCTTTGCCTCTGAAAATTTGTTGTTGTGCTTATGGTAATAGGATCATATCCTAATTGCTGAAGAACATGTAGGGTTATGTTTCCTGAATATTTAAAAAAAAAAAATAATTTTGTGGTGTGTTTACTAAAATAAAAGTAAGTTACCAATATTTTTACAGTTTACAAGTATAATACATTTTATTTGGAAAATACCCTTTATGGTATGGCTAATTATCACTGTCGCCTCCCCCGCCCCCCTCCACACATATTCTATGACAAGAATTAAATGGAAATTTTTGTAGAACATGGTGAAAAACCCCTGCCTAGACCCTATTTTCACGGCATTAGAAAAGTAATTTTTTACTAAACAGATGTTTGTTCGCTGGTCACTGTTTTTAGAAATATCTGCAGTGATGTCCCTCTAAATGTTTGATCCCTGAAATTGTACTACATAGTTGACATGCATTATTGGTTTAGCAGTAAACTAACATTTGCAGCAGCTTTCTATGTTGAAGCTATTTTAATGGTTTTTACTTTTATAAAGTTGCATCTACTAATGAACAGTGCTGTTCTGTTCTCTCCCCGCACCTAAAATTGTTAGCACGTAGCTACTAGCGAGAAAGTAGTTTTGATTGTGATTGTCTGCTGTTTTGAGTTTAAAACATCTGATGAGGATTTATTGTTGATTTCAGTAAGTTGGAATGTGGATTCTTACTTCTATCAGTCAGAGAATATTACGGCACTATCATCTGATAATACTTGTGATTTCTGTGGTAAAGTATTCACCACAAAAATGAGTTGCAGAGATCATCGCAATGCTGTACATCTTCAAGTCAGCTATCCCTGTGAATTTTGTGGCAAAAAGTTTCCTTACAAAAGAACAAAAAGAAGACACGAGAGTTTCTGTCTGGCTAAATTTGGACAGTCATCTGCCAGATGAACAAACATCACTGACATGCCTGTTGTGCTGGACACTACTTGCTAGTTGGCTTTTTCACATCTAGATAGGCCCTAATTGTCTCACAACTGTTTTTGGGCCTTAGACATTGGATCTTTGGAATGTATAGTCAGTACGCAAATGAGATTATCAGGAAGTTGCTAATCTAACAAAAAGTTTGAATTGCACTTTAATTTGCCAAATGTAAATTTCAAAGAATAATCTTGTTGTTATGTTGAACCCATGCCAAGTCATAGAAAGAATATAATCTTCAGAATTATCACCTGCAAGCCATCAGACTCTCTTATCCTTTACTGTAGAAATACCGCAGATTGATGTTAGAGCATACTTTTTATCTGTTCCAGGGATGATGGAAAATAAACATGTTCTTGAGGCGTTTTCGTCCCAGTCTTCGTTTCTTACAAATCGCAACTTTGAAAGTGGTAGGACTGCGTTCTATGTTTGTGAATTCTGTAACAAGTCCTTCAGTGCGAGAAAAGATTATGAAGGACACAAGAATGTTAGACATCTGAATAATAGACCGTTTCATTGCCCTGAATGTGGCAGATGTTTTGCTTATAAAAGAAGCTTACAGCATCACCGGCGATTAAACCATAAATTTTAACTGAGCTGACAAAACTTTGTCAAGGCCTTAAAACATTCTTATTCAAAATAAGTTTTATTCCATTAAAATTTTTAATCAATGTTTCTAACGAGTTGCAGAAAACGTAAAATAGTATTTTTAGACATGACATTACTTTATTATAGGTGTGTGGGTCATTATTGCAGTGATATAAACATGCTTACCAGACAAGGGGATAATTGATGAGAACAGTGGGACTTGATATTTAAAGCACAGCTTAATAAAAACTAAATAAATTCTGTAGTAATTAAATGAAAAATGCATAGTATAATATTCATACTGTACGCATGGGAATAATAGAGAAAATACCAAAGAAAACCTCACCTCATCTAGTTTTGTCCTATGTTATATCCAGCTTATTTTTCTGAAAACAATCAGTACCGGTCATACATTGTTTTGTGGTCTCTGAAATCCCATCTGCAGTGTTTGGGACAAAGTAAAAAGACGTCTTAGCAATTTCGATGACACATTTATTTGTGGGAAATAGTTTTTCTGTCGGTCTAGATATCCAAAGTAGTTAGACAGCCCGGGTCCTCACATCATTTTCTGAAGTAAACAACAATATTATTTTGTTGTGTACAGGGAACTGTTATTTTCCATACATGGGGCTTTTTGTTCGACCACATCGAGACCCTGCTGGCAGTTACATGTGTGAATTCTGTGATAAGAGCTACCCAGCTAAGCGAGAATTGGAAGGACACATCAACAATCACCATTTGAACCATAAACCTTACTCGTGTACTGTCTGTCCGAAATCTTTTGTTTACAAAAAGGGCCTGATCTATCACATGAAAATTACACATTTTTTATAGTTTTCTATTTTTACTTATGCCTTCTTAGTTATGTATTTTTTTAATATACAGCCCAGGTTTTCTTTTAGCATTTTAAGGTTTGTTGCATCTTGTGCTTGCTTTCGTTGTCTTTCACTAGTCCAATTTTACTTTCTCAATGCAGACATTTCTCGTGAAGACTGGCAAGATTTTCGCCAATCTTTCACCAGTGACCAGACTTTGTCGGATCTCAGAATTCATGGGCTTAAGAAAACGAGCATAGTTTGTGAAATATGTCACAAGACCTTTGCCAGTCGGAGAGTTTTAGCGGGACATATCAATTCCAAACATTTGAATTCAAAGCCTTATGTTTGTCCATTTTGTTTAAAAGGATTTTCATATAAAACCAGCATGGACTATCACAAAAAGACGTGTCTACAGGGATTCTCATTGGTTCAGTAAAGCAGTAAAATCTGACTCATCTTGCACACTTCTGAAAATATATTCTATAAGTTAATTTCTCATATTAACAGCCACATATGAAATTTTCGCCTGTGTTGTTAATTCTCTTTTGCTTCAGAGTCTTTGGATTGGTACAGAGTTGAGGTTCAGACTCCAGGTGGTATTGGTAAAGGGAATCCAAAAAAGAAGAACCATGTGTGTGGCATCTGTTCCAAAGCCTTTGTCAACTCCAGAATTTTAATGGGCCATGTAAATTCCGTTCATTTGAACATAAAGCCTTATAAATGTGTGTATTGTTCGAAAAGATTCTCTTACAAAAACAATGTTGATGTTCATACGAAAATGTGCAGTTACCAATTTGGAAGTTGATAAAATAGTGTTGTGGGTCCATTTATTTGTGATAAATGATATTTTGTCATTTTAGTTAGATAACAAGTAGACAGGAAGAGGAGTAAAGTATTCTTTTTGCCTTTTTTTAAAAGCTATTCCTTCTTCTAAAAATCCAGCCCAGTGCTTTTGTGTGTGTGTGTGTGTCTGTGTCTAATTAATTAGTAGAGAAAGATAACATTGAGCTTTCCAATACCATTTTCCCCCTCCCAATGCAGTTTCAGCAAACCATGGATTCCAAGGCATGATCGATGGTCAAGGGTTTAACAATTCCTTCAGACTCCGGGCATTTCGATCAAAGATTTCCTGTCACTTCTGTGGAAAGAAATATACTTCTAGGCGTGATTTAGATGGGCATATTAATGTTGTTCATTTAAAACAGAAGCCTTTCATCTGCCACCTTTGTGGAAAGTCATTTTCTTATACTCAGCATCTACATGCACACAAAAAGATGTGCCCAAACTCATTTGTTCATTGTTTTCCAGATATGTAATTTATAGGTAGCATTGTGTTATTGGTGTAGGGAACATTTGTGAACTTGAGGATTATAAATGGTAACAGAATCACTCTGCTTGAAAGCCCAGGCTTCTCCAAAAAGTAATTGAGTAGTCCATAGCATTAAATCTATCTGCATTGTTTCAGTTAATAATTGGCAAGGATCTGATACTGACAGCTTTATAGGAGATGCACATCAGGCTCACACAGTGCGTTCAGGATTCACATGCCAATATTGTGGGAAATTGTGCATTTCAAGACGTGATTTATCAGGGCATACAAATGCTGTACACTTGAAAATAAAGCCATTTGTATGTGAACTGTGCGGGAGAGGTTTTTCTTACAATAGAAACCTCCACGTTCATAAAAAGGTGTGTCCATTTCTTCCTTTATCTGCAGCTTTACCATATTCTTAAGATACAAAGATTTGTGTTGTATAGAATATATATTCTTCTCAGCCTTTGTTTAAACAAAAAAATTTTAAGCATTTTATAGAGTCAGTTATTACCATTATTAGCGCCTTAAAATAGTCAACTGTTTTACTGTTATTGTTTGAAAGACCATTGTTCCTTTGACACAAAGATCTGTTAATTACAAATGTGTAAACTGTAGGTTTATCTTCTTTGATTAAAGACCTGAGTGTATATTTTACATTTCAATAATGTAAGTATCTTTATATTTGTTTTTTCGTCATCAAGATAAGAAAATGGTACCACATCCTCACCAGTATATTTAAAATGTTTAGGCTTATTAATGTATCAGGAGCATAGTAACTTCTGTATTGCCATCTACCAGTTGAGTGTCCAGGCCCTAAAAAGATAACATTAATTATCTAACGTGACAATTGTCCTCGCTATATTCCGCAGCATTCGCCTGTAGAAACACATGGGCAACTGCCCTTCCTTTCAGACAACCTTGGTATTCCTCAAACCAGCATAGACTTGCATGTGAAATCTGTCATAAAAAATTTGTGACCACCAGAGATTACATTGGGCACAAAAATGCCAGACACCTGAATGCCAAACCATATCTCTGTAATTTTTGTGGGAATGGGTTTGCATACAAGAGAAGTGTGGATTTCCATCAGAAAACTGGCAAGTGTTCAGCTATGGCAAAATTACAGAAGTAATTGTCAAGTTTTAAGGAAAGAGTACATACTTTTGTGTTGTTTGTTTATCTGTGCTGCTGCATACTGTTTTTCTTTTGTGGATAATCGAAATAGTAACTGACCAAAGCTCCTTGTTCTGTGGAAAATGTATGTGTAGATTTTCATACCTTTTTCAAGAAGAGCGTTGGGAACATTTTTAAAGCTGTTGATGCATATATATGTAAAGGGAAGCTATAACTAGTTTCAGCCTTGGATAATTTCTTTCATTTAAGAAGGCACATTCCTAGTGTGGTTTCTGTGGCACCATTTTGAAGAAGAAAGAATAGACCCACTGCTCACACCCACGCTGTAGGATGTAACTAACTGGTTGATTTCCCTCAAAGTCTTAATGCATCTGTCAGAGAGGCAAGGAACCAACAGTCAGCATACAAACAAGCCAGATCTGTATTATAGGTTGTGCATGCAAAACCAAAGTCCAGGAGTGGAGGAACAACCACACTTTTTGCCAGAGTTTACAGTCTTTGAACACTAAGAAAGAGGCATATTTTGGGTATGGAATGAAGTATTAGCGATAACTTGCAGAATTGATATGTGCTGTCTTTTGTACACATATGTCTCTTGTCTGAGTGCTCCCCCAATTGTTTCCACTAAATAATTAAGTTAAAAAAAAAAACAACTTTGGGTTAAGTTAATAGTAAACTTGTTAAAAGAAACCAGTTTTGTTGGAGGTTGGGAAATCGCACACACTCATATGCCCATGCACCCATTTTGGAGACAGGAGAATAGACCCACTGGCTCCCTAAAATCTTGTCGTTAAAGGCGACTAATTCAGGATTTTCCTTCCCAAGTTGGAGCGCCTCAGTCTTAAAGGTAACCAACAGTCTGCATGTAAGTAGGCCAGATCTGTAAAACGGATGTGCCACACATTTTTAGTTTTGGACGGCACTAAGGTTCAGAAGTGTACAAAGATAATAAATGCACTAACAAACAGAACCCACCATCTTTCTCTGTCTTCTGCTTGTTGAACAAGAATGAGTTGAGTTATGAGTGAGTATGAACAAGTATATGAAAACTTAGTTCTGTCCATTTCATGATGTTGTCATACCAACAAACAACTTGAACTTTCCACTGATAAACG